CGTCTCCCCCCGCGTGGAAATTTCGATAAATCCCTTTTTAGTGTGCATTCCCATAATATACTCTACTAAAACGCAGATAATAACAAAAAATTGCATCTAAAATAGTACAGTAGAAGCCGTTCTTCCGGTTAAGACTTAATCCTGTCTCTCTCCCCCAGCGGGGTAATTTCGAAAAATTCCTACTTAGTAAGCGTTTTCATGACGTACCCTAACTGTGTACCAAATTTCACCTCTTTAGGTTCAGCGGTTTGCTCTCGGCGATGATGAATCAGTGAATGAGTCAGTCAGTCAGGACAAGCAATATTATATATATAGATAATTCTGAACCACATCCAATATTAGTAGAAATCGTAAACGTTATTATCGCAAATTAATTTTATAATTTAATACAGTAGAGCGTCGTTTATCCGAATCAATTGTAGACTGAGGTTGTTCGGATAACTAATTTTTCGGATAACCGACTATGTACGAAAAAATATATTAATCTATCCCGTGTTGAAATTTTTCTCTGTTGCGTGTCGCTTCGCATTGAATTTTCGTCGATGTTAAGCCTAACGTAAACTTTTTAGAATAATAATCGTGGCTATTGTATCGTTAAAAATAATTTCTTTATGTTTTACAAACGAAATAAATACATTGAAAAATATAAAAACGAATAAAAATTATACTTTAGGCCGACTGGAATTCTTTCGGATAACCGACTTTCGGATAAACGACGCTCTACTGTAATTAAAAAGGATTTATTAAACTTTGTCTTACTTTAAGTTGTCATGTTTTAATTTACTTAAATATTAAAAGAATAAATTTTTTAAAATATAAAAGAAAATGATATAGAGTATCGAGATATTTTATGATAACGGAAGTAATGAATTGAGAAGTTTTCTAAATTTTAAAATTATTTATAATTTTTATTTACTCGAGAAATTTTTAATCTGGAAATAATTTATAACCTGAAAAATTAATTTTTTAGGTTATAAATAATAAAAGTTAATAAGGTTATAGAAAATAATTCTTCCAAATATTCACCAGACATTGTTCTAACTAATCAGCGGTCTCACAACTGAACGACACGATGGCACACACGTTAAGGTAAGCCTACGCAGTCTGACACTGTGGTGGAAAATCAAATGGTTTTTCGAATCTACTCTGGTGGTCGGTACAGTTCTCCAAAACTGTTAAATTTTCCCCCACACGCAATCAGGAATTAACTCAATGTCTCCACACACGGTTAATCCTCAAAGGATTTACTTAACGTGTATGGGTCCTTTACTTACTACAGTATATATCCCTACGTGCAGCATTTAATTTAACATTGTATTGTATTTAAGTTTGTTAGACTTACAACAAAAGACCTGAATTATTTATTTCTCCTAGACTGTCTGGCTACATTCTTGTAAGCATGTGTTTCGTTACTACTGTTGAATAATGAAAGAACTCATTTCTCAAGCTGAAAGTTTCAGTTAAACTAATATTATTTAAAATTAAATTGAATAAATTTGGGCTATTAAAACATTGTTGAACATGTTTAGAAGTGTTCACTAGTTTATATCGAATTGATTAATAAAATGGCTATATGAGGATAATGCTATCTTAATTAATACAGTAGAGCGTCGTTTATCGGAAAATCGGTTATCCGAAAGAATTCCAGTCGGCAAATTTAAATTTTCGCTGGTGTTGTGGCACTGTATTATTTGGTTATATCTTGGGCTACTCCAATATTTTTTGTTGATGTGTGTGTTTTAGCTGGCAGCACTGGCACTTTTGTGTGGTGTATTTCTGAGCACTGTGTGTTGTGCTGAATGGAACGTTTTTGATACTAGATGAACTTCTAAAGTATATTTTTTTGGTTTTTATATTTTTCAATATATTTATTTTGTTTGTACAAAATAAAGAAATAATTTTTAACGATAGAGTAGCCACGGTTATTATTTTAAATAGTTTACGTTAGGCTTAACATCGACGAAAATTTAATGCGAAGCGACACGCAACGGAGAAAAATTTCAACACGGGATATGTTAATATATTTTTTCGTACATAATCGGTTATCCGAAAAATAAGTTATCCGAACAACCCGTCCCCAATTTATTCGGATAAACGACGCTCTACTGTATTTCAAGGTGATTTTGTTCAGGGCAGGGAGACCATTTACAATACTTTCATTTTCAGTGGTTTAATTCAATATGTGTTATCGAAGAAATGATCGAAATTTATTTATTAAAAATTAGATAATTTATTTATTAAAAATTAGATAATTTATTTTCATAGGTAATATAAATCAGGCAAAGGTCAAAAAATCTAAAATTCAGGTTAGATAATTTGATTTACCGGAATATAGAAATTTTGATTTCATTAAAAAATTTAACTAAAGCTTAGAAAACATTTCTCCTCTTGATTATGCATATGTGTTATACATTAGTTGTATCGTTTTTTATAAATTTGTGTTTGTAGAAATAGATAATTCTTTGAGGGTACAAGTTACATCTTTTTCGGAATCATGTTATTCCAAGTATTGTCATAGCGTATTTATATTTGAGGATTGCTGCAAAGGTAAGACTACTTTAAATACAGTTTGCATGAAAAAGAATGTTTTCAATTTTTTTATATTCAGATTTATGATCATTTCTATGAGGTGGAAAATTTTTTCTGCAGCCTATTTCAGCCTGGAATACAAATTTAAGTGAAGTAGATATTAGAAAGGAAATGTGATAGTAGCTTTTTTAATGAAAAAACTTTACATGTATATTTTAATAACATATAAATAATATCTTTCCTGCTAATTATTACCATACCTAAGTTATAAATTGTTTAATTATTTAGTTTAGTAATAATTTTAAATCAGATACTATATGTTTTTGATAGTTGGTGGATTTCACGAAAACATTCGGAAAGACACACATCGGATTCACTGTGGGCGAATTTATTTATGTAAAAAAGAATGTTATCGTTAGAGTAAGTAAATTTTTTTTTACATATATAATTACAAAATTTTGCTTATATAAATTTATTTTGTAGGTTGGTAGCGCGATAAAATTATTCACATTAGCTTTGTCTTTATTATTAGCAGAGAAAAAATCCAACAGTTGTTCTGGCGTGAAATCCTCTCTGAATTCTACATAAAATATTTCATTAAACAAACAATATAATTCTATATTAATACGTATTTGCAATAACAGATTTAGTTTAAAATATTGTTATTAAACCAATCGAATTAAATCGCAAAACGTATTTGCTTATAATGCAACGTTATAACTTTGTGTAATAATTAATTTTTAAATGTTTTGAGTAATGCTTTACAATGAGTTATTTGTCAGCTTTTCATTACATTTATAATTGTATCATATACGAGAATGTCTGTTCCTATACCAATATGTTATGGCTAATTTAGCCAATGTAACTGCAACATTCAAATCGTAGCATCTTAGCATTACATTTGTTATGTTAGTCATATTTAATATTCTAAATCTACTAAATAACTATAGTGTATAAGATTTTTGCTTTTATGCGTGTTAAATATCAAATAAGACAAGATATGTAATAATTTCTTTTTTAATTTTCTATAGATTATATACTAATACTCTTTATACTCCGTTGTGACTTAAAACGAAGGAAATAGAATATGACTTATATAGTGTAACGAGACATATAGAAATTCCTTTTTACACGAGTTATTTTAAAATACATCTAATGCAAATTTTTACATTAAATCACTTGCCTAGACAAAGCAACAAAGGTCAACTAATGGCCTGAGATATTTCGGAAGTGAAATAAAAATTAATATTATGTATTTTCTCACATCTATTGTAATAACAGTGCAACCGTTTTTAACAACAGTTTCACTAATAAAGCATTACATTAAATATATGTTACCAACTTTGTTAATTATTTTTATTATTTAATTTTTTAATTATTATAAAATTGCAAAAAGCATAATATTGACAACATAAATGAATTTTATAAAAGATAAAAGCGAATATCGAATAAAATCGTCATTTACTTTAATCTCTATTGAGATGTGGCAAACAATTCTTCTTTATCTTTCCTTCATATCGATCATTAAACAATAAAATATTATATCATCAATTATCGTAATACAAAATCCTGCCTCCATAATTTCAGAAATTTTTAGCAGGAAAATTTCTGAAAGTATGGAGGCAGGATTTTCTGAAACAAAGAAAATACTGAGCACAACGGAATCATTCAACTTCGCACACAGAGAAATCTATACATAAACTAATTTAGAAAGCTTTTCGATGTTTAAACGTCTGATAAGCCTGAGAAGGTAAAAATCTTGAGATAAATTTCTGCCCCCAAATCATTCTTATTTTCTTATATTTAATGCAGCAAGAAAACGAAAAATTATACTGATAATAATAAACAAAGCTATTTTTGAGATGAATATAAGCAAATCTGAAGGAATACAAGTGTAATTTGCGTGGTGAATGTTAGATATCATGTGAAATGTCTAGTGTGCAAACTTATTAATATAATTAAAAATTCAAATATTGCTAAAAAAATATCAATTTATTAGCTTAAAAATAGTATTTAATACATCAGGTAAACACAAGGTATAACTCTGAAAATTATTACTGCAAAAAAATCATAAAAAGTATAAAATTTAAATGAAAATCAATTATTGTATCTAAATGTACAGTGCATTTCTATTAGATTAATGATAACAAGATTAATTACAGTAAAATAAAAAATATATTAACATTTTATCCGTATATAATAAAATCAAAATACGTTAAAATTTTAATGTAATATTTCAATGTGATAATTCAATGTAAATTAATTAAGAAACAATATATTGTATTGTGACAGATCTCGAGAACTAAAAACTAGTACTATTATAACATTAAATTTTTTTGTTCAATTTACACTAAATAAAATAATATGTTGGAAAATTTCATTTTATAATGTCTGGTATAGTTTTATTTTATAATTAAAACTAAATTTTCCAGTAACATTTTCCCAAGTCTATATTTTGTTATTAGCTTTAATTAAAAAAATGGAGGAATCAAAGAAAAAACAACAGGAATGAACATCAATGCATGAAAAGCAGTTTCTATTGCGATAAGAAATACTACTTTCACAAATATAATAAAAGCGTACATATCTCTGTATACAAATAAAATTCCTAAAATGGTTGACAGAGATCCTTGAAATATTGGATAGCCGATACGATACAGACTGTCTTTCATTCTTTCATTGGGGGTTTGATACAAAGAACAAATATAAGCGAAAGACATGTGAGCCGGATAATTGACGCAGAATCCGACACATAATATCAGGCTCATCATTGAAAAAATATCCATGTTTATACCCCAAAGAGACATGTATCCTAAAGTTTCTACAATGGTGGATGATACCGATATTGCTACGAGAAAAGCAACGACAATGTTCGGTACGATAACTATAAATAAAATCATAACCAATAGTGAAGTGATCCAAAGTAAATCTCTAATTGTGCATCCAATTATAATTCCTTGTTCGTACAGAGGAGTTAATGCTGCGTAAACGAGAACAGGAAAATCAAATTCGTCAGCAATTTTCCACAGATTTTTTAACATTTCTATTTCATCTTCTGCACTTAGCGTATCATTTACAAGAATGTGGAATCTGCTACTTAAAATATCGGATCCGTCAGAATTGAATGCGATATCATTGGTGAATTGTTCTGCTGATTTAAATTTCAGAAAAACATTGCGAAGCCCATCCAAGAAATCTTCTTTAACCGACATGTTATATCCTCGTAATGAATATTTTGCTAGCGAGTGAGTTTGGAATTCCTTGTAATATTTTAACCAAGATACTGTAAATCGAGAATCTGCAATGTGTGGGAGACTTTCGAATTTTTTAAGTAATCCATCTATAGTCCTCTGTACATTTAAATCTGAATAATCAAGTGTGCTATTAATGACTATTTGGTACGGAAACGTATAACGGCCGAAACTATTATAATATAATTTTATACCTTGTGTTATTACCGATTTTTGTGGATATAGCTTAGTGTAATCAACACCGTGTGTTATAGTTAAGGCTCCCCATATTCCAAATAATAAATTCAGAAAGTAAACTATGATAACTATTATCTTCATTGTACTAATACATAGAATTTTCCCCAACTTGTCCCGAAAGAACGCCATTGTTGGCTCATCAGTAGACGTTTCTTCTTCTGTAGTAGAATATTCGATATCTTCTGAAAATAAAGTTAACCACTTAGAATTTATATACAGCATTATTGATTTGAGAAAAATTTCAGAACGATGTTTATTAATTTATAAATCAATTTATGTAATACTAATTATTAGCAAATAATTGATGAATAAGAGATATCAGCAAAACAAGTAAATAAAAACTGCTTAGACATTTCATAATATCACATAAAAAATATGCTTATTCAAAAACGCCATTTACTTAAAAAAGTTTTGTACCATATATTTCATTTTATTTTATTAAAAGGCCGTTATGTCAGCAAAATAAAACAAAGTTATCATTGAAGAAGGAGAAAGTGAGGAAACGAATAAGGAGAATGTACAGTCAGAAAGAAAAGTAAAAATGACTCCCTCTCAGCGAGTCACGCAAGGTTAATACTTTTCACTGCGTTTAATGTTCACTTAGAGTTTTTATGCTACGACGTCGTTGGTCAAAAAGTAAACGTGAGTTGTAAAGAGCTGTACTCTAATAACTAGTGCAGCTTTATATAATAAAAAAAGGAAAGTTTAACGCTTAACTCTGAAATAAAGATTTATACTTATATTAAAATTAAGCTACCCTGCGATAACTCGTACTTCAATAATATATTAAATTTTCTGAAATAATGCACCATGTATTCAATACATTATACACTTACCCTTCATATTTTGCCAGCAGTCACCTGATACCAGTTTGTGCAATCTCGTATAGCATTTACTTATAAAAAAAGTCTGTGTATATATCAATATATATTTTTTAAAAAATCGAAGAACATTACCTAAATTATAACGAAATGCTTTTTGTCGTTGTTTCTCTTCACTGCGTCCTGATAATGCCATGCACCCTGCAAAAAACGTTATCTGATACAAAAACGTAAACACTATGCTGGTTGCGGAATAATAACAAAACATTCTTATAAGAGGGAAAGATGACATCATTCCAATGCAATAGGAAAACAGATTAGTCAAAGATGTTAACGTTATAAATTCCTGCTTCACCCAATGTTTCTTCCATGCGTTTGTGTACTTTATGCTTGGGGTTTGATATTCTCCAACACGCTAACAATACGAAGGCATCGTCGATCTCTGTCACTACATCAGAAAACCTTTATTAATTGAAGAATTCATAATCTAAAAGTAAACAAATATAAAAGCGCATGTTATTACTTACCGAGAACTAAAAACGGTATGGTGATGTTCCAAATACTATTTGGTACACCGACAAATGACATGAATCCGAAAGAAGAGACCACGGCCAGACCAGCGGATACCACACTTGCCATACCCAGAAGAGGCTTGCTTTTTGCCCAATTGTTGCTCATGCACATAACAGCAGTGAAAACAGATATAAATGCAATTAAAGCACCAATCATAGGTTTAATATTTTCCACTAAGTGCACATTTTGCTGTTCTATTGACCAGTAGTTATCAATAAAACACATAAGATATTTAAATTGATGATTACTTATTCGATTATATACTTCTGTTCGCCATCTTTTAATCATATTGTGTTTATTCTTGTTGCTGTTGTCAGTGAAATAAACTAATCTCGTAGCATTTACTGTCTGAATGAAATCGTTCTTATCTTCGTTTACACCCCCAAAGTTAAGAGCGTAAATTTGATAAGAGTATGTCAACGGATCTATGTCGACCGGATACTTCAATTTCTTTTTTCGCTGTACGATATTATCAATTTCGGGCAATATTTCGATAATCGGATTTTCAAAACATTTTTGGCGTACACGTGCACAAATATCTGAGTATCCAATTTGTATACCTTCATGATTAATTGTTATATTTTTAATTAGTTGATCCACCGAACTTATTTCTAGCAGCACGTTTTTTTCGAGCATGTCTCCACCACCTTTTCGTGTAAAAATCAATAACACACAATTCGATAAGTTTGTAAATCTCGCCGGATCAAAAGCTTTTGACGTATTGTACGGAAATGTTTTTTCAATGAACTTCTTAGTATTATAAACTTTTCCCGAATCTGCAAATGTCAGGCTTACTGCGTTTGTGATAGTGTTTGTATTGAAGATGAATGCTGAGAATGTCGCTGTTATTAAAACAGGAAGAAAAATAAAGAAGTATGGATGAAGTCCGATCAATCTTCCTAATCTTCGAAAAACGATCGATAATCGATTCCTCACACAGTCAATTTTCATCTTTTTATCTTGATGTAGAGAAGATACTATTTACCCTATAAAAAGATAAAACATATTTCAAATATATTATATTACATAATTAATTCAAATTCATTGTTATAAGTGACTATATGNGTTAAGGTAAGCCTACGCAGTCTGACACTGTGGTGGAAAATCAAATGGTTTTTCGAATCTACTCTGGTGGTCGGTACAGTTCTCCAAAACTGTTAAATTTTCCCCCACACGCAATCAGGAATTAACTCAATGTCTCCACACACGGTTAATCCTCAAAGGATTTACTTAACGTGTATGGGTCCTTTACTTACTACAGTATATATCCCTACGTGCAGCATTTAATTTAACATTGTATTGTATTTAAGTTTGTTAGACTTACAACAAAAGACCTGAATTATTTATTTCTCCTAGACTGTCTGGCTACATTCTTGTAAGCATGTGTTTCGTTACTACTGTTGAATAATGAAAGAACTCATTTCTCAAGCTGAAAGTTTCAGTTAAACTAATATTATTTAAAATTAAATTGAATAAATTTGGGCTATTAAAACATTGTTGAACATGTTTAGAAGTGTTCACTAGTTTATATCGAATTGATTAATAAAATGGCTATATGAGGATAATGCTATCTTAATTAATACAGTAGAGCGTCGTTTATCGGAAAATCGGTTATCCGAAAGAATTCCAGTCGGCAAATTTAAATTTTCGCTGGTGTTGTGGCACTGTATTATTTGGTTATATCTTGGGCTACTCCAATATTTTTTGTTGATGTGTGTGTTTTAGCTGGCAGCACTGGCACTTTTGTGTGGTGTATTTCTGAGCACTGTGTGTTGTGCTGAATGGAACGTTTTTGATACTAGATGAACTTCTAAAGTATATTTTTTTGGTTTTTATATTTTTCAATATATTTATTTTGTTTGTACAAAATAAAGAAATAATTTTTAACGATAGAGTAGCCACGGTTATTATTTTAAATAGTTTACGTTAGGCTTAACATCGACGAAAATTTAATGCGAAGCGACACGCAACGGAGAAAAATTTCAACACGGGATATGTTAATATATTTTTTCGTACATAATCGGTTATCCGAAAAATAAGTTATCCGAACAACCCGTCCCCAATTTATTCGGATAAACGACGCTCTACTGTATTTCAAGGTGATTTTGTTCAGGGCAGGGAGACCATTTACAATACTTTCATTTTCAGTGGTTTAATTCAATATGTGTTATCGAAGAAATGATCGAAATTTATTTATTAAAAATTAGATAATTTATTTATTAAAAATTAGATAATTTATTTTCATAGGTAATATAAATCAGGCAAAGGTCAAAAAATCTAAAATTCAGGTTAGATAATTTGATTTACCGGAATATAGAAATTTTGATTTCATTAAAAAATTTAACTAAAGCTTAGAAAACATTTCTCCTCTTGATTATGCATATGTGTTATACATTAGTTGTATCGTTTTTTATAAATTTGTGTTTGTAGAAATAGATAATTCTTTGAGGGTACAAGTTACATCTTTTTCGAAATCATGTTATTCCAAGTATTGTCATAGCGTATTTATATTTGAGGATTGCTGCAAAGGTAAGACTACTTTAAATACAGTTTGCATGAAAAAGAATGTTTTCAATTTTTTTATATTCAGATTTATGATCATTTCTATGAGGTGGAAAATTTTTTCTGCAGCCTATTTCAGCCTGGAATACAAATTTAAGTGAAGTAGATATTAGAAAGGAAATGTGATAGTAGCTTTTTTAATGAAAAAACTTTACATGTATATTTTAATAACATATAAATAATATCTTTCCTGCTAATTATTACCATACCTAAGTTATAAATTGTTTAATTATTTAGTTTAGTAATAATTTTAAATCAGATACTATATGTTTTTGATAGTTGGTGGATTTCATGAAAACATTCGGAAAGACACACATCGGATTCACTGTGGGCGAATTTATTTATGTAAAAAAGAATGTTATCGTTAGAGTAAGTAAATTTTTTTTTACATATATAATTACAAAATTTTGCTTATATAAATTTATTTTGTAGGTTGGTAGCGCGATAAAATTATTCACATTAGCTTTGTCTTTATTATTAGCAGAGAAAAAATCCAACAGTTGTTCTGGCGTGAAATCCTCTCTGAATTCTACATAAAATATTTCATTAAACAAACAATATAATTCTATATTAATACGTATTTGCAATAACAGATTTAGTTTAAAATATTGTTATTAAACCAATCGAATTAAATCGCAAAACGTATTTGCTTATAATGCAACGTTATAACTTTGTGTAATAATTAATTTTTAAATGTTTTGAGTAATGCTTTACAATGAGTTATTTGTCAGCTTTTCATTACATTTATAATTGTATCATATACGAGAATGTCTGTTCCTATACCAATATGTTATGGCTAATTTAGCCAATGTAACTGCAACATTCAAATCGTAGCATCTTAGCATTACATTTGTTATGTTAGTCATATTTAATATTCTAAATCTACTAAATAACTATAGTGTATAAGATTTTTGCTTTTATGCGTGTTAAATATCAAATAAGACAAGATATGTAATAATTTCTTTTTTAATTTTCTATAGATTATATACTAATACTCTTTATACTCCGTTGTGACTTAAAACGAAGGAAATAGAATATGACTTATATAGTGTAACGAGACATATAGAAATTCCTTTTTACACGAGTTATTTTAAAATACATCTAATGCAAATTTTTACATTAAATCACTTGCCTAGACAAAGCAACAAAGGTCAACTAATGGCCTGAGATATTTCGGAAGTGAAATAAAAATTAATATTATGTATTTTCTCACATCTATTGTAATAACAGTGCAACCGTTTTTAACAACAGNTACATAATTAATTAAAATTCATTGTTATAAGTGACTATATGAATGTTTTCTGAATGTAAAGTTACGCACAATGGTTTACCTGACCTTAGTTTCAGTGTTTTGTTTGATGATGAATGTCGTCGTCATATAATCAGAATAATTTTTTTTGTATTTGAAGTATATTATTTTTATCGAATACGACCGTATTATAAAATCTTGATAAACATGTTTTTATGTAATTTAAAGGTAAAAGCAATTTACTATCGTTTTCGTAGATTTCGTTTATGATGAGTTTTCAATTGTTTTACAGTAAAGAAAGACTTTTATCCAGGGCTGTAGAGTCGGAGTCAGAGTCGTGGAGTTTTGGTGTTTTAGCCGGAGTCAGAGTCAGAGTCGGAATCGGATGGTAAGGAAAAGTCGGAGTCGGTAGATTTTTACGCGACTCCACAGCACTGGCACGGCTGTGGAGTCTTAGTCGGAGTCAGAGTCGGAGTCGTGGAGTTTAGGTGTTTTAGTCGGAGTTGGAGTCAGAGTCAGATAGTAAGGAAAAGTCGGAGTTGGAGTCGGTAGATTTTTACGCGACTCTACAGCCCTGCTTTTATCGCCAAACCGATGGCATTTCCATAGGTTCAGAAATTGGAGAAAATTAGCTGAAACCTATATGTTACATATGGACAGAACTTTATTAAACCTACAGGGCATTATATTTTTTGCAATGTATGTTCGATGACATATTAATTATATATAATAGTGTAATAGCAACACTTTGTGCAGGAATGTAATAATTATAGGGGATAAAACTATTGGCTCACACAATGAAAGTTTTTGAAAAGGTTATTGAACAGAGGATTAGAGAGGAAACTAGTGTCACTGAAGGCCAGTTTGAATTTATGCTTGGGAGGAGTACTACAGAGGCCATATTCGTGGTGAGACAGGTGATGGAGAAGTACCGATCTGTAAGGAGAAACCTGCATATGGTGTTCATAGACTTGGAAAAAGCATATGACAGAGTCCCAAAAGAAGTCCTTTGATGGTGCCTCAGGAAGAAAAGTGTGCCGCTTTAATACATTGTGACAATTGAAGATATGTACTATAGGGCCAGCACGCAAGTTAGAACTGCAGCCGGATTGATAGACATGTTTGAAGTAAGAGTGGGCACATCAGGGGTCAGCACTCAGCCCATACCTCTTCCTATTAGTTATGGATGTAATAACATCTGCTGTACAGAAGGACGTACCCTGGTGTGTGCTGTTTGCAGATGACATAGTCCTCATTGATGAGGGCAGGGAAGAATTACAGAGACGGCTAAACGAATGGCAGCACGTGCTGGAAAATGAGAAACTAAAAATCAGCCAAACCAAGACGAAGTATATGTTCTGTAATTTTGACGGTCTCCCTGGTACTGGTGCGTTAAAACTAAATGGAATACCATTGCCAGAACGTATTGAATTCCGATATCTGAGATCTCTGCTTCATAAAAATGGCAACATTGATAGGGAGGTTACTAGGAGGATCAATGCAGGATGGTTAAAGTGGAAACAGGTGACAGGAATAACTTGTGACAAACGCATGCCATTTAAAATAAGAGGGCTAATATATAAAACTGTCATCAGACCCGTGCTTATGTATGGGTGCGAGTGCTGGCCGATGACAGCCACCGAAGAGAAGCAATTGCATGTGGCAGAGATGCGAATGCTAGGGTGGATGAGCGGGGTCACAAGAGTAGATAGGATTAGAAATGATTACTTCAGAGGAAGTTTAAAGGTAGTATCTATCTCAGAAAAAATAAAAAGCCACAGACTGACATGGTTTGGACATGTGGTGAGAAGGGATGAGGAACATGTAACAAAAAATTTACTAAATATGAAAGTACAGGAAGATAGAGGTAGAGGAAGACCTAAGAAGAGGTGAATTGAATATGTAGAAACAGATATTCTGGACTGGGGAGTGGATGAAAAAACAATTGGAGATAGACTAACGTGGCCTAAATTGACATTCCGGGCTGACCCCAAATAATCTGGGATATAGGCCAGGACGAAGAAGTGTAATAACGAACCTGTTCAAATATTGAAACAAGCTAATGAGATTCACTCAAGAAACCGAACATTATAATAGAATAAATTTAGATACAACAATTACATAATTTTTAGATCACCTTAAATACTGTAAATTTGTTAAACAATGTAGTGCTAAATAAGTTATTGACTGTAAATCGTATTGCCCTATAAACCAAAAAGGAAACATATACATTTAATGCAAATAAGAGATATTTTCGATAACAACAAAAATGGATATGAGAGAACAGGAAATTAAAAAAGCTCAAAGAAGTATATTTTAAACGGGTATCCAAAGATAATACTAAATAATTGGTACAGCCAATTATTTAGTATTTGGTTGTACCAATTGAAAAACAAGAAAAGAAAGAGTACGTATCATTTCCTTCTATAAAAAGCATATATGAAGAATAAAGCAAAATTCTTATTCAAAGTTATATATCTCCCGTAAGTCAAAATGGAAAGAAAAATTGATTTTTCGTGTATTTTTCTACGATACAATTAAGTAAAAATTGGTTAATTATTCTGACTGTAATAGTATAAAATACTAATTCAAAATAACTGTTTAAGTTATAAGAAAGTGTTTATATTTTGCAACACATTGTATAAACTACATGAAAAGTATTTACTCGTATAAATATTGCGTTTATGGAAAAATCATTGGTCTGTAATTTGTCAGTGTCGAAAAAAACTACACAGATGAAACAGGAGATCAGAAGTTGAAAACATCGAAAAAGTAAAACCAGATTAATTACTTTACGTACTTTCTGCGAAAAATTACACAAGAAGAACTTTACGTTAACCAAAGTCGATCAAATGCTGTATTTATCATCATGATACATGCAGAATAGAGTCACATACTTTGCAATCAGCGATTCGATACAAAAAAAGAAAAATACATCTATTGAGAATAAGAAAATAAAAAAGGAAATATATAAAAATTGAAAGTGAGAGGATAGAGCGTATCTGAAAAGGAAAAATATTACACTAAACTCACTATTTGGATACCAATTTTTACATGACAAAAAGGAAAGGAACAGAAAAACTGGTAATAAATAAAACTAATATTATGATTCCGGATAATATACTTAATATGTTAAGATCGAGAATATATTTTAATGCTCCGATATATACAGAAACTTATTTAATAACAGCAGAAATAGATAATGTTCATTTCTTGAGAGATTTAATCTGTATATATAAAATTGCTTGTCCTGACTGACTGACTGACTGACTAACTGATTCATCATCGCCCAGAGCAAACCGCTGGACCTAAAGAGCAGAAATTTGGTACACAGTTAGGATTCGTCCTGAAAACGCACACTAAGAAGGGAGTTTTCGAAATTCCCAAGTGGGGGGGAGAGGGAGAGCATTAAGGCTTAACTGGAAGAACGGCTTCTACTGTANATCGTAATTTATTTATTAAAAATTAGATAATTTATTTTCATAGGTAATATAAATCAGGCAAAGGTCAAAAAATCTAAAATTCAGGTTAGATAATTTGATTTACCGGAATATAGAAATTTTGATTTCATTAAAAAATTTAACTAAAGCTTAGAAAACATTTCTCCTCTTGATTATGCATATGTGTTATACATTAGTTGTATCGTTTTTTATAAATTTGTGTTTGTAGAAATAGATAATTCTTTGAGGGTACAAGTTACATCTTTTTCGGAATCATGTTATTCCAAGTATTGTCATAGCGTATTTATATTTGAGGATTGCTGCAAAGGTAAGACTACTTTAAATACAGTTTGCATGAAAAAGAATGTTTTCAATTTTTTTATATTCAGATTTATGATCATTTCTATGAGGTGGAAAATTTTTTCTGCAGCCTATTTCAGCCTGGAATACAAATTTAAGTGAAGTAGATATTAGAAAGGAAATGTGATAGTAGCTTTTTTAATGAAAAAACTTGACATGTATATTTTAATAACATATAAATAATATCTTTCCTGCTAATTATTACCATACCTAAGTTATAAATTGTTTAATTATTTAGTTTAGTAATAATTTTAAATCAGATACTATATGTTTTTGATAGTTGGTGGATTTCATGAAAACATTCGGAAAGACACACATCGGATTCACTGTGGGCGAATTTATTTATGTAAAAAAGAATGTTATCGTTAGAGTAAGTAAATTTTTTTTTACATATATAATTACAAAATTTTGCTTATATAAATTTATTTTGTAGGTTGGTAGCGCGATAAAATTATTCACATTAGCTTTGTCTTTATTATTAGCAGAGAAAAAATCCAACAGTTGTTCTGGCGTGAAATCCTCTCTGAATTCTACATAAAATATTTCATTAAACAAACAATATAATTCTATATTAATACGTATTTGCAATAACAGATTTAGTTTAAAATATTGTTATTAAACCAATCGAATTAAATCGCAAAACGTATTTGCTTATAATGCAACGTTATAACTTTGTGTAATAATTAATTTTTAAATGTTTTGAGTAATGCTTTACAATGAGTTATTTGTCAGCTTTTCATTACATTTATAATTGTATCATATACGAGAATGTCTGTTCCTATACCAATATGTTATGGCTAATTTAGCCAATGTAACTGCAACATTCAAATCGTAGCATCTTAGCATTACATTTGTTATGTTAGTCATATTTAATATTCTAAATCTACTAAATAACTATAGTGTATAAGATTTTTGCTTTTATGCGTGTTAAATATCAAATAAGACAAGATATGTAATAATTTCTTTTTTAATTTTCTATAGATTATATACTAATACTCTTTATACTCCGTTGTGACTTAAAACGAAGGAAATAGAATATGACTTATATAGTGTAACGAGACATATAGAAATTCCTTTTTACACGAGTTATTTTAAAATACATCTAATGCAAATTTTTACATTAAATCACTTGCCTAGACAAAGCAACAAAGGTCAACTAATGGCCTGAGATATTTCGGAAGTGAAATAAAAATTAATATTATGTATTTTCTCACATCTATTGTAATAACAGTGCAACCGTTTTTAACAACAGTTTCACTAATAAAGCATTACATTAAATATATGTTACCAACTTTGTTAATTATTTTTATTATTTAATTTTTTAATTATTATAAAATTGCAAAAAGCATAATATTGACAACATAAATGAATTTTATAAAAGATAAAAGCGAATATCGAATAAAATCGTCATTTACTTTAATCTCTATTGAGATGTGGCAAACAATTCTTCTTTATCTTTCCTTCATATCGATCATTAAACAATAAAATATTATATCATCAATTATCGTAATACAAAATCCTGCCTCCATAATTTCAGAAATTTTTAGCAGGAAAATTTCTGAAAGTATGGAGGCAGGATTTTCTGAAACAAAGAAAATACTGAGCACAACGGAATCATTCAACTTCGCACACAGAGAAATCTATACATAAACTAATTTAGAAAGCTTTTCGATGTTTAAACGTCTGATAAGCCTGAGAAGGTAAAAATCTTGAGATAAATTTCTGCCCCCAAATCATTCTTATTTTCTTATATTTAATGCAGCAAGAAAACGAAAAATTATACTGATAATAATAAACAAAGCTATTTTTGAGATGAATATAAGCAAATCTGAAGGAATACAAGTGTAATTTGCGTGGTGAATGTTAGATATCATGTGAAATGTCTAGTGTGCAAACTTATTAATATAATTAAAAATTCAAATATTGCTAAAAAAATATCAATTTATTAGCTTAAAAATAGTATTTAATACATCAGGTAAACACAAGGTATAACTCTGAAAATTATTACTGCAAAAAAATCATAAAAAGTATAAAATTTAAATGAAAATCAATTATTGTATCTAAATGTACAGTGCATTTCTATTAGATTAATGATAACAAGATTAATTACAGTAAAATAAAAAATATATTAACATTTTATCCGTATATAATAAAATCAAAATACGTTAAAATTTTAATGTAATATTTCAATGTGATAATTCAATGTAAATTAATTAAGAAACAATATATTGTATTGTGACAGATCTCGAGAACTAAAAACTAGTACTATTATAACATTAAATTTTTTTGTTCAATTTACACTAAATAAAATAATATGTTGGAAAATTTCATTTTATAATGTCTGGTATAGTTTTATTTTATAATTAAAACTAAATTTTCCAGTAACATTTTCCCAAGTCTATATTTTGTTATTAGCTTTAATTAAAAAAATGGAGGAATCAAAGAAAAAACAACAGGAATGAACATCAATGCATGAAAAGCAGTTTCTATTGCGATAAGAAATACTACTTTCACAAATATAATAAAAGCGTACATATCTCTGTATACAAATAAAATTCCTAAAATGGTTGACAGAGATCCTTGAAATATTGGATAGCCGATACGATACAGACTGTCTTTCATTCTTTCATTGGGGGTTTGATACAAAGAACAAATATAAGCGAAAGACATGTGAGCCGGATAATTGACGCAGAATCCGACACATAATATCAGGCTCATCATTGAAAAAATATCCATGTTTATACCCCAAAGAGACATGTATCCTAAAGTTTCTACAATGGTGGATGATACCGATATTGCTACGAGAAAAGCAACGACAATGTTCGGTACGATAACTATAAATAAAATCATAACCAATAGTGAAGTGATCCAAAGTAAATCTCTAATTGTGCATCCAATTATAATTCCTTGTTCGTACAGAGGAGTTAATGCTGCGTAAACGAGAACAGGAAAATCAAATTCGTCAGCAATTTTCCACAGATTTTTTAACATTTCTATTTCATCTTCTGCACTTAGCGTATCATTTACAAGAATGTGGAATCTGCTACTTAAAATATCGGATCCGTCAGAATTGAATGCGATATCATTGGTGAATTGTTCTGCTGATTTAAATTTCAGAAAAACATTGCGAAGCCCATCCAAGAAATCTTCTTTAACCGACATGTTATATCCTCGTAATGAATATTTTGCTAGCGAGTGAGTTTGGAATTCCTTGTAATATTTTAACCAAGATACTGTAAATCGAGAATCTGCAATGTGTGGGAGACTTTCGAATTTTTTAAGTAATCCATCTATAGTCCTCTGTACATTTAAATCTGAATAATCAAGTGTGCTATTAATGACTATTTGGTACGGAAACGTATAACGGCCGAAACTATTATAATATAATTTTATACCTTGTGTTATTACCGATTTTTGTGGATATAGCTTAGTGTAATCAACACCGTGTGTTATAGTTAAGGCTCCCCATATTCCAAATAATAAATTCAGAAAGTAAACTATGATAACTATTATCTTCATTGTACTAATACATAGAATTTTCCCCAACTTGTCCCGAAAGAACGCCATTGTTGGCTCATCAGTAGACGTTTCTTCTTCTGTAGTAGAATATTCGATATCTTCTGAAAATAAAGTTAACCACTTAGAATTTATATACAGCATTATTGATTTGAGAAAAATTTCAGAACGATGTTTATTAATTTATAAATCAATTTATGTAATACTGATTGTTAGCAAATAATTGATGAATAACAGATATCAGCAAAACAGGTAAAAAAAAACTGCTTAGACATTTCATAAAATCACATTAAAAATATGCTTATTCAAAAAGACCATTTTTTAAAAAATATTTTGTACCATATTTTTCATTTTATTTTACCGAAAGGCCGTTATGTCAGCAAAATAAAACAAAGTTATTATAAGATGGAGAAAGTGAGGAAATGAATAAGGAGAATGTACAGTCAGAAAGAAAAGGAAGAATGACTCCCTCTCAGCGGGTCACGTAAGGTTAATACTTTTCATTGCGTTTAATGTTCCTGTAGAGTTTTTATGCTACAACGTCGTGGGTCAAAAAGTAAACGTGAGTTGAAAGAACTGTACTCTAATAACTAGGGCTGCTTCATATAATAAAAGAAGCAAAGTTTAACGCTTATCTCTTAAATAAAAATTTCTGTTTATATTAAAATTAAGCTATTCTGCGATAACTCGAACTTTAATAATATATTAAATTTTCCGAAATAATGCACCATGTATACCATACACTATACAATTACCTTTCATATTTTGCCAGCAGTCACCTGATACCAGTCCGTACAATCTCGTATAGCATTTACTTATAAAAACTCTGTGTATATATCGTTATATATGATTTAAAAAATGAAACAACATTACCCAAATTAAAACGAAATGCTTTTTGTCGTTGTTTCTCTTCACTGCGTCCTGATAATGCCATGCACCCTGCAAAAAACGTTATCTGATACAAAAACGTAAACACTATGCTGGTTGCGGAATAATAACAAAACATTCTTATAAGAGGAAAAGATGACATCATTCCAATGCAATAGGAAAACAGATTAGTCAAAGATGTTAACGTTATAGAAATTCCTGCTTCACCCAATGTTTCTTCCATGCGTTTGTGTACTTTATGCTTGGGGTTTGATATTCTCCAACACGCTAACAATACGAAGGCATCGTCGATCTCTGTCACTACATCAGAAAACCTTTATTAATTGAAGAATTCATAATCTAAAAGTAAACAAATATAAAAGCGCATGTTATTACTTACCGAGAACTAAAAACGGTATGGTGATGTTCCAAATACTATTTGGTACACCGACAATTGACATGAATCCGAAAGAAGAGACCACGGCCAGACCAGCGGATACCACACTTGCCATACCCAGAAGAGGCTTGCTTTTTGCCCAATTGTTGCTCATGCACATAACAGCAGTGAAAACAGATATAAATGCAATTAAAGCACCAATCATAGGTTTAATATTTTCCACTAAGTGCACATTTTGCTGTTCTATTGACCAGTAGTTATCAATAAAACACATAAGATATTTAAATTGATGATTACTTATTCGATTATATACTTCTGTTCGCCATCTTTTAATCATATTGTGTTTATTCTTGTTGCTGTTGTCAGTGAAATAAACTAATCTCGTAGCATTTACTGTCTGAATGAAATCGTTCTTATCTTCGTTTACACCCCCAAAGTTAAGAGCGTAAATTTGATAAGAGTATGTCAACGGATCTATGTCGACCGGATACTTCAATTTCTTTTTTCGCTGTACGATATTATCAATTTCGGGCAATATTTCGATAATCGGATTTTCAAAACATTTTTGGCGTACACGTGCACAAATATCTGAGTATCCAATTTGTATACCTTCATGATTAATTGTTATATTTTTAATTAGTTGATCCACCGAACTTATTTCTAGCAGCACGTTTTTTTCGAGCATGTCTCCACCACCTTTTCGTGTAAAAATCAATAACACACAATTCGATAAGTTTGTAAATCTCGCCGGATCAAAAGCTTTTGACGTATTGTACGGAAATGTTTTTTCAATGAACTTCTTAGTATTATAAACTTTTCCCGAATCTGCAAATGTCAGGCTTACTGCGTTTGTGATAGTGTTTGTATTGAAGATGAATGCTGAGAATGTCGCTGTTATTAAAACAGGAAGAAAAATAAAGAAGTATGGATGAAGTCCGATCAATCTTCCTAATCTTCGAAAAACGATCGATAATCGATTCCTCACACAGTCAATTTTCATCTTTTTATCTTGATGTAGAGAAGATACTATTTACCCTATAAAAAGATAAAACATATTTCAAATATATTATATTACATAATTAATTCAAATTCATTGTTATAAGTGACTATATGAATGTTTTCTGAATGTAAAGTTACGCACAATGGTTTACCTGACCTTAGTTTCAGTGTTTTGTTTGATGATGAATGTCGTCGTCATATAATCAGAATAATTTTTTTGTATTTGAAGTATATTATTTTTATCGAATACGACCGTATTATAAAATCTTGATAAACATGTTTTTATGTAATTTAAAGGTAAAAGCAATTTACTATCGTTTTCGTAGATTTCGTTTATGATGAGTTTTCAATTGTTTTACAGTAAAGAAAGACTTTTATCCAGGGCTGTAGAGTCGGAGTCAGAGTCGTGGAGTTTTGGTGTTTTAGCCGGAGTCAGAGTCAGAGTCGGAATCGGATGGTAAGGAAAAGTCGGAGTCGGTAGATTTTTACGCGACTCCACAGCACTGGCACGGCTGTGGAGTCTTAGTCGGAGTCAGAGTCGGAGTCGTGGAGTTTAGGTGTTTTAGTCGGAGTTGGAGTCAGAGTCAGATAGTAAGGAAAAGTCGGAGTTGGAGTCGGTAGATTTTTACGCGACTCTACAGCCCTGCTTTTATCGCCAAACCGATGGCATTTCCATAGGTTCAGAAATTGGAGAAAATTAGCTGAAACCTATATGTTACATATGGACAGAACTTTATTAAACCTACAGGGCATTATATTTTTTGCAATGTATGTTCGATGACATATTAATTATATATAATAGTGTAATAGCAACACTTTGTGCAGGAATGTAATAATTATAGGGGATAAAACTATTAGCTCACACAATGAAAGTTTTTGAAAAGGTTATTGAACAGAGGATTAGAGAGGAAACTAGTGTCACTGAAGGCCAGTTTGAATTTATGCCTGGGAGGAGTACTACAGAGGCCATATTCGTGGTGAGACAGGTGATGGAGAAGTACCGATCTGTAAGGAGAAACCTGCATATGGTGTTCATAGACTTGGAAAAAGCATATGACAGAGTCCCAAAAGAAGTCCTTTGATGGTGCCTCAGGAAGAAAAGTGTGCCGCTTTAATACATTGTGACAATTGAAGATATGTACTATAGGGCCAGCACGCAAGTTAGAACTGCAGCCGGATTGATAGACATGTTTGAAGTAAGAGTGGGCACATCAGGGGTCAGCACTCAGCCCATACCTCTTCCTATTAGTTATGGATGTAATAACATCTGCTGTACAGAAGGACGTACCCTGGTGTGTGCTGTTTGCAGATGACATAGTCCTCATTGATGAGGGCAGGGAAGAATTACAGAGACGGCTAAACGAATGGCAGCACGTGCTGGAAAATGAGAAACTAAAAATCAGCCAAACCAAGACGAAGTATATGTTCTGTAATTTTGACGGTCTCCCTGGTACTGGTGCGTTAAAACTAAATGGAATACCATTGCCAGAACGTATTGAATTCCGATATCTGAGATCTCTGCTTCATAAAAATGGCAACATTGATAGGGAGGTTACTAGGAGGATCAATGCAGGATGGTTAAAGTGGAAACAGGTGACAGGAATAACTTGTGACAAACGCATGCCATTTAAAATAAGAGGGCTAATATATAAAACTGTCATCAGACCCGTGCTTATGTATGGGTGCGAGTGCTGGCCGATGACAGCCACCGAAGAGAAGCAATTGCATGTGGCAGAGATGCGAATGCTAGGGTGGATGAGCGGGGTCACAAGAGTAGATAGGATTAGAAATGATTACTTCAGAGGAAGTTTAAAGGTAGTATCTATCTCAGAAAAAATAAAAAGCCACAGACTGACATGGTTTGGACATGTGGTGAGAAGGGATGAGGAACATGTAACAAAAAATTTACTAAATATGAAAGTACAGGAAGATAGAGGTAGAGGAAGACCTAAGAAGAGGTGAATTGAATATGTAGAAACAGATATTCTGGACTGGGGAGTGGATGAAAAAACAATTGGAGATAGACTAACGTGGCCTAAATTGACATTCCGGGCTGACCCCAAATAATCTGGGATATAGGCCAGGACGAAGAAGTGTAATAACGAACCTGTTCAAATATTGAAACAAGCTAATGAGATTCACTCAAGAAACCGAACATTATAATAGAATAAATTTAGATACAACAATTACATAATTTTTAGATCACCTTAAATACTGTAAATTTGTTAAACAATGTAGTGCTAAATAAGTTATTGACTGTAAATCGTATTGCCCTATAAACCAAAAAGGAAACATATACATTTAATGCAAATAAGAGATATTTTCGATAACAACAAAAATGGATATGAGAGAACAGGAAATTAAAAAAGCTCAAAGAAGTATATTTTAAACGGGTATCCAAAGATAATACTAAATAATTGGTACAGCCAATTATTTAGTATTTGGTTGTACCAATTGAAAAACAAGAAAAGAAAGAGTACGTATCATTTCCTTCTATAAAAAGCATATATGAAGAATAAAGCAAAATTCTTATTCAAAGTTATATATCTCCCGTAAGTCAAAATGGAAAGAAAAATTGATTTTTCGTGTATTTTTCTACGATACAATTAAGTAAAAATTGGTTAATTATTCTGACTGTAATAGTATAAAATACTAATTCAAAATAACTGTTTAAGTTATAAGAAAGTGTTTATATTTTGCAACACATTGTATAAACTACATGAAAAGTATTTACTCGTATAAATATTGCGTTTATGGAAAAATCATTGGTCTGTAATTTGTCAGTGTCGAAAAAAACTACACAGATGAAACAGGAGATCAGAAGTTGAAAACATCGAAAAAGTAAAACCAGATTAATTACTTTACGTACTTTCTGCGAAAA